AAGTGCTTTACAAATGCTAAGTGGGCTCCCGGCTGCAACAACCGGACACCTTCATTGTCACTAAACTTGGTGTCAAGTAGTGTCTGAGGATCTTTAAGATGGAAAGGCCTTGCTGTTACACTGGGTAAATGTTTGTCCACCATGCCAGCACGTTCCCAGTGTCTCGCTGTGATTACAGCTGTGGTGGGGAGCTCACAGCTCTGTGCCGTGCCCGCCCAGCGAATGCTTGACCTGCTATGAGGAGCTGGAAACTCACTCCATTTCAAAAGGCTTCACATCGCAGCCCACGAGACAGGGAGCTGCAGAAACAGCTGAACTCATGCCTTATTGCTCTTTTGGGGTCTGTTTCTGAGCAAAACAGGGACCCATGGGTGTTGTCAGCCAAGTTATTTTTCTAGAAAGAATGCAAGTTCTCCAGCCAAAGGAGATTTTATTGCTCTTGAGTGCAGACAGGGAAATCTGTGGCTGTGGGACTGCAGAACACAGCCCTTCCTATCACTGTCTCCTGTCGGATCAAGACCTGCCATACAACATGGCTTAATTAATTTCCCTTGAAATACTGAATTCCCTCCACCCATGCTCCTGCTGGCTTTACAGTCATATGTAATATCATGCCATATTTCCATCCTTTTTTATAAATTCTGTAAACAATTCCAGAAAAGGAGCACATATAAGAGACTCAAACTTCTAGTGACACATATAAGACAGCCTCCCTCTTCCGAGGGCAAGGAGCCCCTGAAGTGAGCTACTGCAAGGGAGGGCCAGATGGTGAAGAGCACGGTGGCAGATGTGGGGAGAGGGTGGCTCAAGCCATCTGGGAGCCAGTGGGATTTTGGTCATGGTTTTCTTTGAACACGCAACCTACAATATGTTGCTGGCCCTGACTTCGCGTGTCTTTACTGGCATAACAGTGTAGGGGATGAGTGGGTGCAGCTGGGACTCTCCAAAGTAATTGCAAGTCTTCAAACACCTTTTCTTCTTCCCTGTATGTTTCTCACAAGCAGAAGAGTGGATTCCTTGGGGCTCCTAGAAAGAAGATGATAAAAGTGAGGCTGAAGGCCTTTAGCTCCAGCGGATCGTTAGTAGTCTGTTAAATACTCTACTGCAAAGTCAGCAGTGCTGCTCCTCATAGAGCACAGAGTCTGCAAAAATACAGGGCATTTTATGTAGGAGCACCCAAATGACTTACCAGGTGCTTCAAAGGCAAGCAAGGAGTCTCCCCTGGTTTAGATTAAAAGCAGAAGTAGAGGAGTAGGAGGGAAGAGGTACAATACAACAGGGGATGTGATCACCTAGAAACTGTTCACACACTGCACATCAGGTGTTTCTGTACAGGCTTTTACTGAAAAATAAGAACTGGTGTTCTGGGAGGGCAGATGCTACTGACTCACCCGCTGCAGATAATAGTGGAAGGCATTATCTCATGATGAAGTGACAGGTACCATCTGATGAATAATCTGATTTTCCTCCAAAGGTGAATTGCCCCTTTATCTTTTCCTCTTAGGTAATGATGAATATGCATTTACCTGGATCTTAAATTTCATTTCTTCTTTGAATGCTGTTTGAAAAGTGGAATCCAGCACCATGTGTAGCAAAGTGGAGCTCATCTTGCCCTGCTCCTGGGGAACTAGACGTTGCCTCAGTGATATCCATGGAAGCAGCAAACGTGCTTTTTGGGGCGTATTATAAGTACATGTGTTGTTGTGCCCCTCGGACTCTTTCTGAACTCCATCTCTGAATGAACAGCAAAGTGGGAGATGCTTTCTCCTACGCTAAACATCGACCTTATCTCAGCAAATCCCGGATGTATTGATATTGCTATCGTGGTGAGTTGACCTTGGCTGTCTGCCAGACACCCATCCAGGTGCTCTCTCACTACCCCTCCTCAATAGGATAGGGAAGAAAATAAAATGAAAAAGCTCATGAGTAGAGTTAAAGACAGGGACTTCACCAAGCAATTACTGTCACAGACAAAACAGACTTGACTTGAGGAAAATTATTAAATATACTTCCAATTAAAATAGAGTTGAATGGTGAGAAACAAAGACAGAAAAACCAAAACAGCTTTCCCCACATGCCTTTTTCCCAGGCTGAACTTAATTTCTTCCTTCCTAACTTCCCTACCTCCTCCATCCCCCCTCCCACTGAGCAGTGCAGGGGGGCATGAGGAATGGGAGTTGCAGTCAGTCCATAATAGTTCTTCTCTGCTGCTCACACTTTTCCCTGCTCCAAGATGGGTCCTTCCCAACGGGCTTCAGTCCCTCAGGATAAACCTGCTCCCGCATGGGTTCCTCTCCAGGGGCCACAGCTCCAACCAGGACCCTGCTCCTGCAAGGGTTCTCCACAGGCTGCAGCTTACTTCAAGTCATGTTCATCTGCCCCAGTGCAGCTCCTTCACCATGGTCCTCTCTGCAAGCTGCAGGGAAATGCCTTCTTCACCATGGTCTTCTCCATGGCTGCAGGGAGCACCTCATCCCCCTCTTCCTTCTCTGCCCCTTGTGCTCTCAGGCACCCAGTAAAGCCATGGAGCTTGTCCCCCTGAGTCCATTTCCTATTTTAAGATCAAAAGCTGACCCACTTTTTTTTTCTCTTTTTTTTTTTTTTGTTATCCTGGAGGAGTTTGTCCAGCCATGGCACAAGGTGCACAGCCAGCTCTCTCCTGGCACCAGGCATTTCTCAGTTAGGAGACCTGACAAGGCCGTGTTTGTCAGCTTTCCCACCCACTCATTTCTGTAATTAGAAATGAGTGTAATTCTGTAATTAGCAGACCTCTTATGCTGTGTTTTAGACAGTGGAAGTGTTTTTAGCCAGAGGCACTTCATCTTCAATACCTGGAAAAGCTCTTTAACTTCTTTTTTAATCCAAGGTATGTAGCTCCTGTGGACACCTCATTCTTCAATGAGGGATTTGCGTCCTTTTGGCCAGATTTGTGAGTTAAAATGCTCTCCATATAGTTCATTTCACAGTAAAGAATAAGGGCGTTTCATTAAAAAGCACTTGAAGGGCATTTCTCTGCAAATAATAGGAATAATTTCCTCTTCAAGGTTAGTGTTTCTACAATTGAAACTTTGAAACAACTAGCTGAGGAAAGAAAAAAATTTCTGGAAGTGATGCTACCCAAACTGACTGAGTGAGCGCTGATCTGAGGCCACTTCAGGAGTGACTTCAGAAGCACGATGCAGATGGACTGAGGTGGACAAACATTCTGTGACATCCCCCTGGCAGCTGGTAGCAATGTCCTCGTGCACAGCTGCAGGGGAGAGCAGGCCAGGATGGGGACACATGCTCTGCTGACCTGACTTTACCAAGTCAGCAGTGTTTTGTCAGCAGATAATTTGGCACGTAATCTAAAATGTTTGTTACACAGGTGAAAAATCTGTGTAGTTTGGATATAAAACACCGACCTGATGTGCTGAGGGGTTGTTATGTGCACAGTGGTGTAAAGATGACAAATGCTTCAGGTTTCCCTGATCTGGCATAATGTACAGTAGACTGTTTTGTTTGAATTTTTAATGTGGCTTATTATTTGAACAAAGGTCAAATGTGTTTGTAGAAGTCCAAGCATACTGCAGATATGCTCCTTAAATTAAGACCTATATGCAAGCAACCTTAAAGATACAGCAAAACTTAACACTGATTTGTCAGAGCCGAAAAGTATATCCTTACTTTATCTGAAAAGAGGATTTTCTTTTCCAACCTGCATTTTTTTCCCAGCGGATTTTCAGTAAGAAAGGCAAAAAAAATCTCTCCTTTACTTGCACATACTTAAGAGGCCTAAATCTTAAAAATGCTGGAGACCTGGACACGCCAATTATTAAAATAATGTTATCATTTTCCTGCAGGCAGTAACTAAATATTATTGTATTGTATCTTTTTAAAATAATGGAAATAAAAACTATAACCCTTTTCTGAAATCCTGTGTATTCCTTGCCACTATCTCCACTCATTTTTTCAAACAAAATGTTCATCCTTTTACAAATGTTCCGGTCCGCACATGCGGTAATCTTTTGCTCCTCTTTAGCTTTCTACTCAATAGATAAAGAGCACACTCCAACTTTGCGTTTTTCAAATGTTAAGAAAAGATTGATTTCCTTCTATCTGCAAGGAGCCTCGGATGTCATTATTCCCTAGATGGCAAATGCAGGAGGAAACCAAACACATTAGAGGTTTTGAAAGAGGTCAATATGAACTGGAAACCTTCACAATCTAAGTTTCATTATGAGAATGTGATTGAAGTGGATGTGAGAGTTAAGACAGATTTGTTGTTGTTGTTGGTTTGTTGTTGAAGAAAAGATTGATTTCCTTCTATCTGCAAGGAGCCTCGGATGTCATTATTCCCTAGATGGCAAATGCAGGAGGAAACCAAACACATTAGAGGTTTTGAAAGAGGTCAATATGAACTGGAAACCTTCACAATCTAAGTTTCATTATGAGAATGTGATTGAAGTGGATGTGAGAGTTAAGACAGATTTGTTGTTGTTGTTGGTTTTCATCTTATTATTCAAATGTCTGAGTGTGGTCTGCCAGACTGTTTGTGGGAAATCCCTCCTGGGTAGAAGAATTTGGTGCCTTGCACCACTGAGCCCTACTATTCCCCCTTACTCTGAAAACCAGCAACTCCCAGGTGTTAGGGTGAGTGTGTGGGGTGGCTCCTGTAGCAGCTACAAATACAAAAGTGACTTGACCACCCAGATATTTAGAAATTCCTTGATTTCTTTATGAGCCTTGCAGCCAGATACAATTATGGAGCTAGCCCAAAAGCAGGTGTTAAGTTCCTGTTGGAGTCAGACCAACAGCTGCCAAGACTTAGCATTTAAGTAGGTTGCTGGGAACTCTTTACTTCAACATAACCATTTGTGTTGGAGAAAGTCCATGTAACTTAGTTGCAACGAGAATATGTCTTTGTAGATTATAATTGCTGATACAAGCTCAGTCTCTATGCTACAGTTCACATACATTTTTTATGAACTTATAATTAGAGCGATTTTTGTCTCCTGCAGGTTCCAGCTTTGGAAACGAAGAGCAAACCGCTCCTAAGGCGTCCGCACCTTCTAAAGACATCCCCAAAGGGGGGAGCAAGAGCACGACACAGGTATCGAGCACCATAGCGACTCCACGCAGGAGCTTACTTCCAGCACCAAAAACTGCCACAGCACCTGCTGGTAAGTGCTCCAAACTTGTGTACTTGAAACACCATCGGCATTAGGCCAAGAAATGCAGAAACCTTATTATGATGCTATTTTACTGCTTACTTGATTAATATTCGTGCCATTCTTGGGCATGTTGCCAACGTGCTGATTTGAACTCTATTTGCTATAGTGTCTTTGAAACACAGGCAACAACACAGCTATAAATCTCATTTTGTGAACTATGTCCGGAGTTGAAGGCATTTAGTGTTCCTAACTACACATGCCAGAGATTTAGTGTATATATTATTGGTTCTCACCAAACAGCTTTTTGAAAATGTTGCATTGCTTTAGAGACCAAAGCATTCCTTTGAGCAGATAATTCATTGCTAGTTACACTGGCAGAGATGAGAATACTGCCCTTTCAATTTAAGCAATTTGTGATGTTTTCACTCAGAGAGGGAGAAAGGGGTAAGTAAATAAATCAAAAAAAACCTACTCTTTTTCCCAATTGTTTCCTTACCTAAGCCCTCCTTCAGCTCAATCCAGCCATTTCTCAAATCACCCAATGATCATTCATAACATCCCATACAGGAAAATTTACAGTTTTCTGCCAAATGTGTTTTTTGTTGAAAAACGTGTGCATCTCTCCACTGTCTCCTGCTCACACTTGTTTCATGCTGCCCCTTCCCCAGCCTGGCACTTGGACATGGTGTATGAATTCCAGGTTCCCCTTGACAAGATGTAGGGGTGTATCTTTTTGGGCAGAACTCACCACTTCTGAGAGAGTGAGGAGTAGTTCATGCTGCCCTTGAGGGCTGCTAACATTGGCCCATCTGCCGGCCTGCTCAGTGGGGAGAGATGAGGATGCTTGGTGTGGTGAACATCTATTACACACTCAGTGCTGGCAATGTCTAGACTCAAGTTGGGGTGTAGATGGATGAGTTAGGGCTGTTCATTGTGACTTGCAAGCAGGGTCAATATGATTATTGGTCATAATTATAAAATAAGTTTAAAAGCATGGGTGTAAACACCCTCTCCCTGGTTACAGATGACATCTCTGCATCCCAGGTGGCTTCAAGCACTTTCCTGCCCACTAGTGGACAATGTTCCCCAACCCTGTTCCAGCTACTGTTCGTCCCATTGCCTTTCTGTCTAATGTGGCCTCAGCACTTACCTTTCTGCACTGTGATGGTCCCTGGACGTTCATTGGCCAAGATCTGAGAGTCCCCTGAGAAGTCCCTGAGAGTCCCCTCATGAAAGGTTTGGAAGTTCCAGAGGCCCCAGCTGATAGTGCTGTAACCACAGCAAGCTCTTGCACACCACAGTCTCTATGTGTGGCCATGTTCATTCCTGCTTCCTCATGCTCCAGGAGATCTTCCAAGCCCATCAAGGGAAAGGAACATTAGCGATCATTTAAAAGTAACTGTCATTTTTAAAGCCATAATTGGAGGAACTTACTGGCGAGAAGCCTGTGCCTGAGCTGGTTGTTGAACTCTTGTGGTTACCAGGTCAATATTGCATCTTCTAATGTGGAGGGGAAGGAAGAATATGATTTCAAGACTTATATTCCTGGAAAGCACTTCATAGATGGCTACAAGAGCAGGGTGCATGAGGTGTAACATACTATTTTAGTGAGTGAAACACACTCCACTGTGGTTTTGTGACAGTAGTGAAATATGAATGTATTTGACTCAGTACCTGGATTTGTTTCACAGATGATCTGACACAGTCTCCAAAGCCAGCATGTTTTTCAGAGAGCTTTTCTATTGCTACTAGTTAGCTTGAACCTTGGAGCTGCAAGAACCTGGATATACCTGAATCTTTCTTTACTCCTGCAGTTTTCATGGCTCTACATATTTTCTCATAGAAACAACCCCTCATTCCACTTGCATGAATCTTCCCTTGCTTTTTCAGTGACTTATTTTTTTCCCCGTTTCTATTGTTCCCTATCTCCTCAGATTCTCCCTTAGGTTTAATTTTTAAATGCTTTTCTACTTCTGTCCCTAAAATATTGTACTTTTATATCTGCCTGTTTAGAGAGCACGTTATGCAGAAAGACAAATCAGACTTTTTACACTCAACATTTTCCTTTAAATACAGAGTTTGGATAGGCCACTTCATGGTATATGTACAGAATAGCAAGGATTAAAAGAAGACAGAGCTTCAATAACAGTATAGAAAGCCCATCAAGTCCCGATTAGATTTAATAGTTTAGATTCCAAAATAAAGACTTTTGTGTAGGTCACCAGCCTTATCCAGTCTGTCTCTTATTCAACGGTGTTTCATCTCTGTATAAGTCCCACTGGGTTTGATAAGCTGTGAAGAAAAAATCAGTATAAAACATAAGACAAAGACTTCATGTGTTACTGGTTGTGGTTACTTGGTTTCAAGATAGATTAACCTGGTGTGGTGGGTTGACCCTGACTGGCTGCCAGATGCCCAGCAAGCTGTTCTATTTCTCCCCCTCCTCACCTGGATGGGGCAGAGAAAATACAACAAAAGGCTGGTAGGACGAGATAAGGACAGGAAAAGATCACTCACCGATTACCATCATGGACAGAACAGACTCAACTCGGGGAAAATTAATTTATTACCAATCAAATAAGGATAGGGTAATTAAACCTTCCACCCACCTCTCCCTTCTTCCCAGGCTCAACTTCACTCACGATTTTCTCTACCTCCTCCCTGAAGTGGCACAGAGGGGCAGGAAATGGAGATTGTGGTCGGTTCATCACACATTGTCTTTGCTGCTCTTTCTCCTCACCTTTCCCCTGCTCCAGCATGGGTTCTCACCCAAAGGAGATAGTCCTCCACAGACTTCTCCAATGTGAGTCCTTCCCACAGGGTCACGTGTCCTGCCAGCAAACTTGCTCCAGCATGAGCTTCTCTCTCCACGGGTCACAGGTCCTGCCAAGAGCCTGCTCCAGCACAGGTTTCCCATGGGGTCACAGCCTCCTTTGGGCAGCCACCTGCTCCAGCGTGGTGTCCTCCATGTGCTGCAGGTGGATATCTGCTCCACTGCAAACCTCCAGGGGCTGCAGGGGGACATCCTGTCTCATTACTGTCTTCACCACAGGCTGCAGGGGAATCTCTGCTTTGGCACCTGAAGAACCTCCTCCCCCTGCCCCACCACTGACCTTGGTGTCTGCAGAGCTGTTTCTCTCACATATTCTCAATCCTCTGTCCCAGCTGCTGTTGCACATCAGTTTTTTTCTCCTTCTTTAATATTTTATCACAGAGGCTCTACCACCATCACTGATTGGCTCAGCTTTGGAGGGTGGCAGGTCCGTTTTGGAGCCAGCTGGCATGGGCTCTATTGGACATGGGGGGAAGCTTTTGGCATCTTGTCACAGAAGCCAGTGGCTGGGAGAATCTGGCAGGGAAGATGAAGCTGAAACCGTTTGCCTTATGTAGTCTAGCTAAGTGAAAGTCAAGGACAGTCCAGCACAGTCAGGAATGACTGTCTCTTACTGTCAGAAAACTGTTTACTTCCATCATCTGCACTCACTACTGGGGTGAATCAATCTATCAACAGAATAAATGGATAAATATACCAATTATTTAGTTTCCTTTTCAAGTATTCTTCCTTTTTTTTTTTTTTTTTCCCTTTTCTTTTGAGCTTCCTTTCCTCTCTTCTGATCTCTAGCTAGACTATGTCCTTTCAGGCTACAGGAGATTTGATTAGTATCAGATTTGCCCCGAGATATCTCCAGCAAAGCAACTTTTCTTTTCCAGCTAGTGGCATTGGCATGATAAGCTTTAAAGGACTATTTCAAGTTTCTGTAGAGGAACTTTTCTGGCCTCTGGCGTTCTTTTGTCACAGGCAAGAAGACTGTTAGAAATTCTGAGTCTTCTACTTGTGCAGTCTCACACGAGTGAGTCCTTGCCATGAAGGGTTCAGTATTAGGGCACTGCAATGAGCTGGAACCGTGATGCTTGATATGCAATCATGCTAATGTGGACATGCAAAATCTAGCGTAGACAGAACTAATTGAATGGTTCAGGCTGTCACCTCTGAGTTTGCACAGGTTCCAAATCTCAGACGCACACAGGAGAGCAGAAATTACAACTTCATGAGAAACAATATTTATCAAACAGTAGCTTTTCAAAAAAAAGATGATGTTTGCAATCACATCAGGGCATAAACACTGAAGAGGAAAAGAATTACTGGGGCTGGTGGAAAGCTAAAGCTGACTTTTAATTAGGGGTTTTAATTTATGAAATTATTTAATCTATGAAATGAAAGACTAATTTTTTGCTGAGTTTTATTACCTCTGGAGACAAAGTTGAAAAATAAAAGTCAATACAGAATTTGTATCATTATGAGAAATTCTCCTATTTTTTTTTCTTCCCAAACAACCAACCTTCATTTGCTCATTGTCCTGAGGTTGTCAGTAGATGTTTTCTATGTCTTTCGTCAGTCTCAGTGTAGCGTCCTTCAGAGCATATGATTTGTTACTGTCTTTGCATGACCCTCCAGTAACCTGGGGCATGCCTGCTTCCATGGGGACACACAAATGGAATCTCCTTTGCCCGCGCTTCAACTTGGGAAGCCACAAAGAGCTGTTGATGCCACTCTGTGTCTGAATTAATGGCCCTAGTGGAGACAGGGCAGCAGAGCTTCTGAATTGGATTTTCTTCCCTCAGGGCTGTGTAGAGTGTGGTGTTCAGTCCTTGTGTCTGCGGGTGAATAGGTCCGTACTGGTGTGCCCTGTGCAGGCGGTGCAGTGCTCAGGCTGGTACTGGAGAGCAGTCAGTTTTGTTCTTCCCATTGCAAGGCCATTAGTCTGACTCTGGGGTCATTTCCTAAGCTTTGTTGCAGCCAGGAAGCTGTCAGTGTGCTGAACAGGAGGTGGGTTTCAATCCAGCAGCCCACCATGGCCTTTCCATGCCAGGGATGTGATGGGGATAGTCCATATGTTTGATTATGCAAGCCATGGTAGCAGAGAGCCAGGATGGATACTGCTGGAACGTGTTAGATCCATCACTACCGGAAAACAGTTGAAATTACTCTTTGCCATTCTGGAGGTCAG